CAGAGTTGGCAGAGGATCTTCTAGGTGTTCAAACAACTCTTGTAGGAACTATTCGACAAAATAAAAAGGAAATTCCACGAGAGCTGCAACCGAATGCTCAACGTCCTGAACAATCATCGATATTTTGTTTTGATCGACAGTTAACATTAGTTAGTTATATGCCGAAAAAATCTCATGCTGTAATTCTGCTGTCATCTCTTCATCATGATCAGACAATTTGTAGACGATGAAAAGAAAAAGCCAGAAATTATTTTATATTACAATGGCACAAAAGGTGGTGTCGATCATAGGGATTAAATGGTTCAAACTTTTTTTTGTAAACGAAAGACAAAACGATGTCCAATGACGTTCTTTTTCAACATACTTGACATTGATGCTCTTGCTGCTTTTCTGGTATGGACAACCAACAATCCTCAATGGAATGAAAAGAAAAACTACCGTCGCGGTCTATTTCTAATGGAATTAGGTTATGATCTTGTTCAATCGCATTTGGACCGACGACGACAGCAACCACATGCACTTCAACAGAATGTTCCAATAGCCATACAAGCACTTGGACTCACTGTTACTACTTCACATCCAACTATTGTTTCAACATCTAATGGCAAGCAACGTTGTCATATTTGTCCAAGAGAACGTACTCGAAAGGCTAATACTCATTGTTCAGATTGTAATGCTCCTTGCTGTCCAGATCATCATACAGTTATTTGTACTATGTGTAACGAAACACTATCAGGATAAGTGCGGACTATAACAAAATGTTTCAGAAATAAAAGATAAAATAACGAAATATAGATCCTTTCCTATAAGAAACTAAGTCTATAAGATGCAACTTATTTTTAACATAATGCTACTATAGTATACTACTTAAGACGCGTACTATATGTATCTTACTGAGTTGGGGTCCGTGCGGATCCCAGATGGGTAATAAGTGGTAGTCCTATAAGTGGGCGTATGAGGGTTAATTATGTGCGTACCTGGCTGTGGAGGTACAGGGAAGTCTCAGTTGATCCGGGCTATAACTGCCTATTTCACAGAAACTAATCATGCACATAAATTAGGAAAACTTGCACCAACGTCGGTTGCTGCGGCAGAAATTGAAGAGATGACCATACATTCGTTTCTCGGCGAAGAACGAAATCGAAAGAATAAATCAAAAGCGATGAATCGTCCTGGACAAATGGCACTAGAGAATACATGACGTTTCGTTGAGTACATAATTCTGGATGAAATGTCAATGGTCGGTCTTAGCTTATTGGCTCGTCTCAACAAACTTGTCGCAATAGCTAAACACTGCGATCCCATGTCTACGATGGGTGTTATAAATATTATCTTTTTTGGTGATTACATTCAATACTCCCCAGTATTTGACAAACCACTTTATTACAACTTCACGTCTTCGATTACAGATAAACTGTGTTGTTATGCTTGAAGAACAGATGAAAACCAAAGACTTGGCCTATCGGAGTTTGCTGAATAGAGTTCGTCATGGCGAAGGTACACATGAAGACTGGCAACTGCTTCGAACACGTGTGATTGGTATCGGACTCCACATTTCTCTCAATGACCCACCATGGAATGAGGTACGTTAAAGAAGCCATATGGGTTCTCTTCATTCCTATCGATGTATTGTCTTAGGCTCCAATTCTTGTTTACCGAAATGAACTTCGAGCAGAACTAAACAACCGAGCTGTTATCAACAAAGCCTATGAGATGGGTCGAGTGCCAACCATTGTGGTTGCTACCGATACCATAAAAGCCATGAAGCATGTCGATTTGCCCGACCTGAAAAGACGTCTTCTTGCTCTCCCCGACAACAAAACCGAACATTTACCTGGCTATCTGCCCCCTTGTACCAGGCATGCCTGTATTATTGCAAGAAAATATTGCTTGTGAACTTGGCCTGTCTAATGGTGCGCAAGGTATCTTCCGCGAATTACTCTATGATCGCGTGTTAGAACCCACAGCCGGCACTAATGAAGAAGCTTTTACGCCTGACACTGTCTTTATACGTAATGCTCAATATGCTTTGGTGGAAATAGCGAAATCCAAAATAAGTAAACTAGGTTCGCTCGAACCGCTCGTTGTTTCTATTCCAATAATTGAGAAAACATTCGATGTCGATCTTGAGAAACTGTATAGTGATAAAGGAGCCGTGATGAAATTGTTCAAGGATAGAAAGCTTAAGGCTAGCATATCTGTGAAAAGAAAAGCATTGCCACTTATACCAGCCTACTCCATTACAACTCACAAAAGTCAAGGTCAAACACTGCCAAAAATAGTCATTGACTTGAATAAGCCGCCTGGAGCGGTTGAAGTAGCTTCGGCTTATGCACCACTATCCCGGGTGCAACGGCTCTCAGATTTTGTAATTTTACAGGATTTTAGTATTGACGCTCTGCGCGTAAAACCGTCCGAAGGCCAGATCGCTGAACTTAATAGATTAGCTATCATTTTCGAACGAACAAAACAACATTATTCTCATTACTTCGCATGATATCAAGTGGAGTAATTGTTAAATCTCCTCCTACTGGCAAAGTCAATTAACCTTTATGTATTATGGTTTACTATATACTGTGTGTGTATGTGTGTGAAGTCTTACTATGACGTTGGCTTAACTCTGATTTACTTTATGAGTGTTGTTAACAGTAAAAGTAATTACTACAATAAATGACCAATCAATAATTAAAAAATATACTCTTATTTGAAGAAACTTGGTTTTTGACACTTTACATTCTAAACTATGTATTTCTGCTGTGTCAGCGTGATTTTTATGTCTGCATCTTTATGTAATCTTTATCATTGTGTTGTGTAGATTAGAAACAATTAAATCAGTTTTAATTAATAATATGATTTCTTTTACCATTTGTTTATCTGTTTCAGATATTTGTAAAAAGCTGTTGTCTTTTTCTCGTCGTTTAGCCTTATCAATACAAATCGTCAACAATTATTCGAAGCACATTACTGATGAAATCTAACGTTATGATCATCTATTTTCTTTTAATATCGTTCTCTTCAAATACTTTGGCTCACTTTAGCAATGTTTTTTCGGAAAATAACACAATCGCGTATCCTGAAGCAGGTCTTTTCCTCAGTCATGTGG